AGGGATGCGAGGTCAGTGGTCTAACGACTACGGCATGCACGACTATGAGTACACCCCCCCCCTGACGTCCTCAAACGCCTCCATATCGAACAAAAAGCGTGAACCGCATACAAGAGCGATCATACCTTATGGTGCGGTCCGGAACAGAACAGATTTCAAATGGAGCCATGTCCCACCCCCCAGCGACAACCATCGTGGGGACCCCGAGAAATCATTAATGGGCATGGTGCGATGTCGGGATGCGCCTTCTTTTACCGTTGTAACGGGCGCTCTCGGTGCATTGCCATTCAACATACAGGCAAGATTCGCACAGTCTATCACCGGCATCAAATATCATTTCTTTGGCAACAAACTCCGTTCCTCGGCCTACTTCTCAGCCTGACAGCCGACTTCTCAGTCTCACGATATTCTCAGCCTCGTGTAAAAACAATCAACGATCACGAAAGACACCAGCCCGTTGTTTCCACAAGAAGCAGCCGTTGAAGCGAACGACACAACGAATGCCCGTTCCCCAAATTAGCACATAGCATCCGCAAAATGGCAAAAAAAAAAAATGGTGTTCAATGTTTGCGCGCTGGTAGGTTCCTGAGAAATGCCCACGTAGGTTATCCAGCGTGTCCAAGACGGTTTGGTCGACTAGCTCTCCACCACGAAAATTGTACGACCGTGAAGAGTAGCCCCTACCTCGTCAGGTGAGATACTGCCTCTCGCATTTCCCACCTGCTCTTGTGCTCGTCCCCTCCATCGTTGTCCCCCTCTGCGTCCCCCCCAGCAGAAGAAAACGCCCGGAGGAACTCAGCATGCGCAGCGGCGTCCTCGCGCTGCGTTGCCCCTCCCGCTGCCGGCCCAGTCTCCTCGGCTGTCGTAGCACCAGCACCAGCACCAGCACCAGCACCAGTAGCAGCTGCGGCGGGAACCGGGTCTCTTCTCAGCAGCCACTGCCCCCAGGTCTGCCTCGGCACCGCTGGTTCGCCGGCGGCCGCAACCGCCAAGTTCGCAGACGACGACGATGACAAAAGCGAACCTTCCTGCTCCTCCTGTTCCTCCAGCTCGGCGATGGCCTTGACCCGGAAAGCCACGATCTCGTTGGCGGTAAGCTGCTCGTCCAGGCGGGTGAACTGCTGGTATTCCTCAGGTGTAGCCTGCGGTGTATTGTCGGCAAAACAAGACAAAAATGGCACACCCGTTGGGTCGAGGGAAGGGTATGCTATCATTTTCGTTTGGACACACTACTCTGTCGGCCCGACCACGAAAAGGTTGGTCCGAGACTGGGCTCTGCCGCATGTACCGCTTAGACTCTCCTGGAGACTTCTCCGGGAAAAATAAATGAGCAAATCGAAACCGGGTGCCGCGTTGATTGAAGGAGAACCGACGCCGACGTGGATCGGTAGCAAACAAACACCTTGCGCGGGAACTCCGGCAGATCGCAGCATCGAAGTTTCGTTAAATGCAAATATTCTAAACGACACGTGAGCCAACTCGTCCAGCTTGCGGCGGCGTGCCACCACAGCTGCAGAAGTTCGTCACTCGTAAGGCGCATTTGGTTGGAGTGTAGTAAACGTTGCTGTAGCATGCCGGATTGTCCACAAATTCAGCCGGCAATAAAAGAGCCAGGCGAAACAATCTCCGCTCGTGCAAGAAAATGTTGATTGCCAGTACGGCAGACTGGAACCTATGTCCCGAGACCATGCCCCTCAGGCGAGGGTGGGAGCTAGCAATCGGAAAGAGTCTTGACCGCTTTGCTGCTGACAGAATTCTTTGTTTGCTTGATGGACCCCAGCATCGCAACAAAATGAAGCCTACGTCTGCGACTAGAAGCCTCAAACATAGGCAGCATTCCCACGGACAAATAAGGAAGATTGCCATACGGTTAGAAGTCTCACAATGTGAACAAAATGTAGGTTAGCTCTGGGGCTACAATTCTCAAACATGGGTTGCAGCCCCACTGGACAGAACAAAACTTGCGCCTACGGCTAACGCAGTCGCACATTGGTGGTAGTCCCACGGGGAGGTCGGCGCTGTGTCCCACGATGACTCACGGCCACAAAACCAAAATAATCAAATCACAAGCCTTCATCATCACCTGGTGGCGAGCTCGGGCGGTGTAGAGGCGGACGTAGAGCTTCCTCAGGGAGAGCAGCCGCACAACGTCCGGCCAGCCGAGCTTCGCCCGCTTTTCCGCCTTCCCCGGCCTGGACACGCACTTCACTAGGTACACCCACCTGTCAATAAAAAAACGGCGTTGTTCCGAGATAGTCGTGGTGTGCCATATTCTGGTGTAATATGCCTTGTCGATGACTACCTGCCGTGTATCATTTCCTATGTGATGACAGATCTACGGTACGATGCGCTGAACCCTTTAGGTCACACACGATCAAGCACGATCCCCTCGTTCTTCTCGACAGAGTGGCGCAAGGCGCTAAAAATGGCAGAGTTGGGTGTCTCGCCAAGGACAAGAACTTTACGAGAAGTCAGCGGTGCAAACCGTATCTCCTTGATCACTCCGTGACTTTCTCACCATGGCCAGGCGAAGACACCGTCTCGACAAAAATATATACCTCGCACAAGCAAGGCCGGAATTGCAAGACAAGGTTCGCACGAGCGTCAACCGGGTATTCATACACCTGTCTTGAGAGTATTGGAGAGTGGGGGCTTCCGATGCGCCTTGGATTTCGGCTCCGTAACCACGGAATAGCAACACGGGTTTCGGGGATCATGACGGCTTCCACAGCTTCCTACAAGGCTTTAGATACCCTGGACCAATTTTCGAAGGATACTCTGCAGCCATCAAGTGAGTGGGCCGAAAATGGCGGCGATGGGACCGTCTCGTCGAGAGCTTTCCGAAACGCGAGGTTTGATTGTAGTGTCCTCCTCGTCGTTGAGTAATAGGGCTTCGCAAGTCGGCACAGGGTGTGTGGTATCTCTGCTGCCTACTGTTAATAGTGCAGCCTACGGGTTAAGGTCTCAATTTGTCTAAGGTCTCGTTGCAGGGTGATGTATAGGGACACGCCTTGAGCCCCACGCCATACGCAAACGTTGAACGCACAACTTGGGGACGACAACCACGCCTCCCCTTCAGTCACACAGAAGAATCCCGGACGAAAAAATAGACTCGGCTTGCCTTTTGGCCCATCCTTGGCACACCGAGCAACATCCTCCAAAAACCTAGACCCACCACGCCTTCAGCCCCGCGCTCGACGCTCACGTTGATCACATGGCTTAGGAGCGACGAACACGCGTCCTACGGAACCCGTGGACAGTTGGAATGCTACAACGCCCGTACGAAAAACCTAGGCTTGCCAAAGGCCCATCCTTGGACACAGAACAGCCCCCTACGAAAAGACTAGGCTCACCATGCCTTTGGCCCGTCCTTGATCTTGTGCTTCGGCCGATGCCGGTACAGGGCCTCCCACCTCTCAAGGTCTCGAAGAGTCGACCGCATCTTGTTGATGTTGGCGATCTGGGAGTTGTTGAGAACTAGTCCTACCTGCACCGCAACAATGAGTGTCAAGACATGGCGTGAAAACGGGTGCAAGCGTATCGTCCACAACAGAAGCGATACGGAAACACCACGGTGGTCAACTCGGTTGGACACGATGACGTAGATGGCATACCGGGTGCTTAACGAAACATGTACGCCCGGCGTGTTGCACGATGAACCCAAAAATATACATACGCGTCTGTGTCGGGTAAATGATTATTTCTTGTGTGTGTTGTCGCTTTCAGTGCAGACGGATCACAGGATGCAAGAATCGGATGAGGCCTTCCGCGGCGGCCGGTGGTCCGGCCAACCATCCGTCTTTGCTGTCATGCTCCTAACCATCGGCCTAGGGCCGCATCATGTGAATCCCCGTCCGAAATGTCAAGGATGGAGTAAAATGTGGTGAGAACCAGGCCTATCCGACGGTGTGGTAGACAACACACGCACGAGCCCAGCCCCAGAAAAATGATCGATACACCACTTGAACCTGATCTTTGGGAGAAATACTTGGCTCAGCATACACGTTCCAGGAAAGTGTTCACGCATAACTATTCCACCAACAAACGACATTGCTCATGGGGGTCCAGCGTACCTAGGTAGTCACTCCAACTCACATCGTTGAAAAACGCCTGTATCTTGTACTTCGAACTCCCGCCCATGCTTCCACTGTCACCGCCGCCGTCCCTCTGCACCCTCAGCCGGAAAACGGGCGACGCCGGGATAACGACGTACGAGTGCCTGTCTCCGCCCTCTGCCAACGACGTCCGAAACATGCTTTCCAGGTCCTCGTCCGTTAGCCCCGACGCCAGGAACGATCCATCCCGACCAACCGCACCACTTCCACCACCTGAAGTCTGGGGAACCTCTCCGCCGTGCTGTTCGTCATTGCCAGATTGCGGCAAGGACGGTGGCGACGACGACGAAGGAAGCGCCGAACCGGGACGCGGCGGGACTTCTGCCGCATCGCTGCCGGTGGCGGCGACACCGGCAGATGAAGAGGCTGCAGGGTAACCGGGTGGGCGGGGGGACGAGGAGAGCTCCTCGTCGCAGTACATCGCTAGGCTGTCCACGGAGACCAGCTTGTACACGAAGCGCCCCCCGCTGGTCCATCAAAAAGAAACAGCCGGGCGCAACTGGCTGAACAGAAGTAACAAGCATCAACACCCACGATGCCATGGATCACAGAAGATATCACCCTCTATCCTCCCGGCAGCCTGGTACTATGCTCCACAGCAGCGACAGCAGCAGTGCCAAGGTGAAGCGGCGACTGACGCGCCCGTTTCTTGTTGCCATACCTTGCGATTCCCCCCTCTACTGCCTTTGGTTCTATCTCCATTCCCCCGGGTCAAGCGCCGTTGGTTTCATATGGACCGATCTTCAAAGCTAGAATACTCCACGGATGACAAGGTCCATCACAATTGTGGGAATGCTTTCTGAACGAGACGGTTCCTACGCGGCCACTTTCGGCACCGTCGTTGTTCTGGTTGCAGAGTAGTCGAACTTTGAGAATCGGCCCAAGGGATGTGGGATCAACGAATGCAACCTACGGTAGATGCACACGGTTTTGGCTGCCATCGACAATGTGAAACCAACACCAAAAGACACAGGCACCAATTATTGAAAACAACACCGCATACAACGAAAGACAAGAGTTTCCCAACACATAGTAGGTGGTAAAAAGAACTTAATGGGTGAGCATGAGCCCAAACCTTATAAACTAGATGCACCATCAAGCAACAGGGGGAAACATATATACCACACCACAAAATATCACACCCGTGTTTTTTTTGGAGATGCCAAAACGTTTGATATCACCCGCACGTGTTTGCTTATGTCGTACTTAGTACGGAGTACGTGGCAACAACAAAAATGGCAACCAGCGACGACGCCGAAAACGTCGAGGAAGACTGACCGAGGCTGGCAGCAATCGCACGAAATCGAAGCGCGCGGCGCACGCCGCTTCTCGCCCTACCTTTCTCCCGCCTTGCCCCCGCCAGCCCCCTGGACGTAGGTGGGGGTCCACTGCTCGTCAACGGTCTGCACCACGAGCTGTCGCAACGTGATGCCCGCAGATAGGGGCCGCGGCACGGTACCCGTCCCGTCGTCAAGGCTGAGCTCATCCTCGTACCGGATATGTATATTTTTCACGGTAATCTAATGATTCCGGAACAAGGTTCCAGAGGAAATGAGGACGGGTGAGGGTGGGGCGAGGGAGGAGGGGAGGGTTGGCTCGAGGACAACGCTGCAGAAGGCGTTGCTGGTGGTCTGGAGGTGCGATGGATTTTCGCATAACAAACACATAAGCTGCCAAGATGCTTCGATCATCTAGGCTACGCCTTCCGGAGAGCGCGCGAACAAACGTTTCCAGGGGTGCGCTGCAGCAGGTGGAGAGGGCTCCTTGTTTCAGGTTCTACGTGGCTCAATGCGGAAACAGTAAACACATCAAAAGTAATCTGGGTAGCATCCTTTCGCCAGCATCGCCTAGACTGAGGTCGTCCCAATCCTAGACGTCGAACGCCTTTCACATTTCTAAGTTTCAATGTTTCGGATAGATGAAGGGCCATACTTCTGTAGACGGGAATACAGAACATATCTCCGCTTATCAAGACCTGGAACACAGCACGTCAGGCTCGAAACTATCAACACTTGAGAGTTTGATCAGGTGCTGAGGTAGGTATCCTACAACGAGTTAGGATACCCTCATCAGGAAATGAGCTTCTCAAGAGGTCGTTTATGACAAGGAACGCCAATGGACTCAAGCGCGTCCCCAAGTCTCTAGCCGATGGGAATGTTGCACATGTCTACGTACCCGGAGGTGGATGCTACCGTAGGTTGTGTAAGATACCACACCACTTGAACCGATTCCCACAGTCCGAATATTTTGCAGCACAAACACTGCGGGTACGGAAAATAGTGGCCTTGGAACCTTCTAGACGAGAGATTTACAAAAACGAGCCATTAACTTGGGCATGCCCTTCGTCGCGGAGTAATCGAGCTTCGAAAATCGGTACAGGGGGTGTGCTCTCTTAAGCAATCAACGGTGCTACCTCCTTTCCGGGATGTAGGTGTTCGGCAGTCGGTGACGGTGCCGGGGTTCGACCCGGAAACATGACAGAAGGCACTCAAACGACGGCGGTAGGACCAATTCATCACCTGGACGTTGTCGAGAATTTTGGCCAGGAGTCTGCCCCATCTCCCCTTTCCGCCGCCTTCGTCCTTGGAAACCCCATCCGCAAGCGACGCCTTCCTCTCCAGGTGCTTCCTGAGCCGCCACTCCACTCCTACGTAAGGGTTATTCGATATTCACGAATCGCAACTCATACTTCGTTAACAACAAACGGTTCCCTTCGGTTAGATGTTGGGATAATTGTTATTTTCTTCCGTATGTACGCTGACTGCCGAGAATCGCGAACTGCCCGAATATTTTTGGCCTAGAATCAAGACAAGCGCTCAAAATGGGAATGACGCCTGGGTTCAGGCAACAGATCTGCAGCTACAACCCGACAACATATCGTACAAGTAGGTTGCTTAAGATGACACCCCCCCGGAGACCGATATATATAAAACTCTATCACTCCATTACGAATTGGACGCCAATCTCAGATGATACGCTTTCGGGATGCTCTCGACGCGACGGTTCCAACACCGTCACTGTTTTCTCTGCAGATAAATCGAGTGTTGAAAATCGCTCGGGGTAGCGTGGTATCTTCTGCGACCGACGGTAAGCGAATCATTTTGACGGCGGGAAGACATCGCCGGCTACAGCAGGACGATCCACGCACAACCACCATTACTATTAGCCTTATCCGCTTATTCTGTCGCTAAACCTTCGTCAACGCAAGTCCTTTCAGAGGGTGACCGCTGAGACAACGACCCTGCCACCACCTCTAGACTTCTGGTAGCGTGCCCGACGTTGTCTCTCCATGTCGTCCATGCTCCACGTGTCGAAGGGAGCGACAAGGATGTAAACGTCTTCTAGAGTCGCGCACACCTGTGGACATTCGTCGAAGAATTTGGAGATCATGTCTAAGCCCGTCGTGCTACCTGCTTGCCTCAGAAGCGTGCGGGACCACACTGATGCACGATATCGCAGCATGAAAGCTAGGCTCTGAATGCGACGTTTCGAGGAAAGCCCGTGCACCAGAACCGCAGCCAATCTCCAATGTGAATGGCCATGACAGGTGGGTGAATGCTCTGGTGACGCAAAAGTGGTAACTCGTGAGTGGTACATCTGCAGGCCCGCGAGGGCAAGCACAATGCACCATCAAAGCCAAATAGGATACGATGAAACAACTAGCGTATGCGTGTGTGCTATCCCATTCATTCTGGACGTCGATATTTACACCTTCTTGTCTATTATTGTTGGGATTCACCAATCGGAGCCACAGAGGAGCGAGGCAACACACAGGCTTATCATTTTGTCACACATTGACACATACAAGCAATGCCCTCGCTCTGGAACTCCGTTCGACCGACGAACTTTTCAAGCCACGCACCGGCTTGGACCCCAGCTTGTTCCAAGGCACGCTGAGCTGAAACAGCCCAACGTGTCCCCATTTGACTTCGACAGGGATGTCTAGCCCCTCCGAGAGCGCTTCAGGGACGAGCTGCAGGCCCGTGAGCAGGATCTGCAGGCGATTGTGATCCAAACGAAAAATGGGCGTGAAACTACAGCTGCAGCAAGGAAGCTTGTGAGCTGCGAAGGCAGAAGGCTAAAAACGGCAACAAAACACCCACCCGCCCTCTCTCTCTCCAAGGAAGCGTCGTCCTCTCCCAAAATTTGATACCTCCACGCCCGTAGCCACGCAGGTTCTCCAGCGCGAGATTTGGCGACCAAGCGCCCAAACAACCACATAATGAACGAAACGTTGCTTCAATGTGGAGGGCGCTCAATTGTTCGTGGCCCCCCTGTAGTTGGTAGGAACGGTGCTTCGTCTAGATTGAGGGGCGCAATCAACGGGAAAATTGCTAGTCTATATTGGTATAAGCACTGAATGGGTGCCCGCTTCTGCCCCGCTCTTGAAGGTCCGTTCGTCAGGCTCTTCTTTCGACGCTTACCGCTGCAGGCCCTGAAGGACAATGAGAAACGACACCTACGGATAAGTACGACACAAGGTAACCCACACATGAGATAACGACCCCCCCACAATACCACACCCAAAACATGAAGCTATACATCTCAGATCAACAAGTAGGGCGCCATAAGATGCCACACCATACAATAACACACCCAATTACATAAACTAGATGCCAAAACGTCGATACCGGGGTGTGTGTTTCTTGCGTTGTTTACAGTGCTTTAAAAGCAACCTCATCGGTTACCCAGGATGCCTCCCACCCACCCGCTCTCGTCCGACACCCTCTTCAACCCCTCTCGGCTTTCCCACCTCTCCTTTCCATGCGGATAGCCGTAGATTCTCCGCATCCAATCCTTTCACGTAACGGCCGAACCGCTCCACCAGGAAGCGGGAAAGGTAACCTTCCAGCACCATGCCCTCAGCGACACTGCGCAAGCGCCTTCCTCAGCAGCAGAAAAATTCTTCGTACCGCCGACGTAGACGGCTTACTCACGAGGCAAGCCGCTTTCATTGAGGTTTCATGTGCGCTTAGGGGCTTCCAAGCAGAGCGGCCTGAGGTTTCCTGGCAGGAAGCGGCGAAATGAACTCGTCTGTGGGGATGGGGTTCCGCGAGAGAATCAGGCGTTGGCAAAAAACACAAGGTTGTGCCGCAGAACGAAAGCACGGGAACAAGACCTGGTGAAAATAGTGTTCTACACGAAGAAAAAACAGCCGTAAGGTCAATGCGAGCGAATGCTCATTCTTTTCCACTACAGCAGTGCCGGCTAAGATGTAATAGAAGGCGTGACAAACCGAAATCCTTCTCTTATATCCGCACTTCCTCTTGTATCGATTCTCTTGTATCGTAGCCTGCACTGTACGTACTTTATTGGAAGATCCAGTTGAGAATTTATTCCACACACGAATGAGCTCGTCAACCATTTGAAGTCGATCGGTCAAGGTTTTGGGTGTTGCTTCTATAACCCGTCACCAAAGCTGAAAACTAACAAATGCTCAAACAAACAAAAACAACAAACACACCTTTACAACAAACAAGGGATGCTTCGCCGTCCCGCTCACGGGGGGCTGGCTGTTGGTGAGACAATTCCAGCCGGAAAATTATCATCAAGGTGATATAAACATATATACTTTCATACTTTGGTTCTCTGCCCTCCGCGCTCGAGAGCTCTTTTTT